ACCCCCTTTCCCCCTAACCCTTCCTTTTTCACTGAGGAAGACACTGACTGGGCTCATCTCATGCTAATCTTGATCAATCCACAAAGACAAACTTGATCTTATTAGCTTCCTGGCTAGATAGAAATGTGAATAGGTTCTAGTATCTTGAAGCGCCTCAGTCAGATATATCAGTGGTTCCTAACAGCTGAACCACTGGCTGCTATCTAAAAAAAAAAAGGTTCATAAAGAGTTCATTGAGGAAGAGTTTACAGAAACACTGTAGTTCAAAAAAACTATAGAAAGTTTTAGGTTTTGTCCAATAAATCTGCCTTGGAATGGCTTTGTTATAAGCTCTATCTATCTATATTCAAGGGCCATCAAAAATTAGCACTGAAACTTGTGTCCTGCCTTTCTCTACAGATCTGCTCTACTGGAAGATGCTAGTGGCCAGTGAGCACAATCAGTGCAGTTGGACTTCAGGGTTAAAAACAGCCAATCTGACCCCCATTTGGGGCAAAGTCTTAAACACATTTTGATGACAGTTTTCTGTTTCTTGTGTCTTTTTCCTGTATATTTAACAATGAATGAGGGTAGTGAGGAGACTGCACAAGCAGTCACTCTTATTCCAAGGCATTAATTCATGAAGATTCTGTGCTGAGGTCTGGACTTTTTTTTTTTTTTAAATTAACTCTCTTCTTGGTTGAAAATGGTTTGAATTTTACCAATTTTAACATAGACCAAGATTCCTGCTTACACTTTCCTCACCAATGGCATATGCTGAGGGTTCCTAAAGCTGATTACATAACAAATGTGCAATCAATCTGATCCCTTTTGGTGCCCCACATCTGTATTCTTAAATAGCATGTACCCCTAGGGAAAATGTATTCTTGCATCCTTCATTTGACAAATACACAAACTCTTGCCTATAAGAGGGGCCCTCGCTTCTCTTACTAATTCCAAAGTGACCTTGGGAAAGTCACTTTACTGTGTCTTTCTCAGAACCTGTGTGAGTTCAATGTCCAATTAACACATTAAACTCATATGAATATTTAAAGACTTTAAAACATATATTACTTCTGAACTTCATTTCTGCCTTTTTGAAACAGGAATAAGCCTAATTTGTAACATGTTATATTATAAAGTTTTTCCAACTACACTGGCCTCAATGATACAGTAAAATCTTAGTATGTTCTCTACAAAGCTAATGTTTAGAGCTGACAAAGGCGCTTGTGGGAAGAATGGACCATCTGACATGCTACTTGTGGAACAGTATATTAAAGAAGCCTGTTAACATGTAGTTTAAAACTCAAAAGAAACTCCGAACAGCTGAAATGCCTTATAAATAGCGCAGACCCAGAGGAAGTGCAAACGTCTGCATTGTGAATTGTAGATCTTAATTACCGACAATGGCTGGTACAGCAAGTAGCACAAAAAAAAAAGTGAAACAGTTGCACTGTTCATGGTTAGCAATAATTCTTCAGGAAAATATTTACTATCAATCAGTTATGAGAAAAGGGACTCTGTGCTCGTAAAACAGCACGTTGCTTCTCATACCAGGACCATTTTGCTTCAGCATAATCTGAATTTAAACAGCTTGTTTCCTGCGGATATAATTTTGGAAATAAATAAAACAAGTCTTCTATCAAAATCTGGAGTGAGAGGGAAGAAACATCACATTTTTCTGTCTCAGTCAGTTTCAAACAGATTATTAGACTCAAGTAAAAAACAATAACAACAAACAACAACAACTAAAATACAGAACATCTACAAAGGACTACTGAAGGGATTTATTTTCCAAACATAAAGAAGCAAAACTTCTCCTACCAGGGCCAAAAATCTAAATAGATGTATTCTAATAATTCAATTTTAACTCTATGTGTTTGTGTATATGTTTGTGGGTATAGGTGAGGGTAAAGTAGGGAAAAACCTAAAACCAAAATTGTCAGTAATATTTCACCAAAGTCAATGAAAAGACAACATAAAAAATTATGCTCTTCAGTTTTCCAGTTAGTTTTCTTTACCAATTAAAAACCATCATGAAGGTTCACTATTAGGTACAATGCGATTATGGATTTTAAAGACTAAGTTGACAGTTAATAATGACTGTCCTTTTAAAGCTATAATAAATACAGAGCTCATAATGTTCCAAACACAAATCTTGTGAACTACAGGGCTATAATCAGGAGAAAGGATTTTGAAAAAAAAAAAAAAAAAAAAAGACATTTTAATGTTTCAAAATATTACTTGGATTAAGCTATACTGATAAACTGACCCCTTCCCCATTTTTATTTTTAAATCTTTTCTTAGGCCTCTTCCTTCAAGTTAAACATTCAAAAGACCTAGGATAGGCAACCTAAGGTAGCTGTAGTCTTAAGGTAGCTGTAGTCTATCTTATACCTTTGATTACTTTTATTCTAAAAAGTACCCTTTTTATAGATCCATTGTAAGACTAAGATATTTCCGGCAAAGAAGAGTCACGTACAATGTACTATAGGGGTCTGAACATAACAACATTGCTGCTTTTAGGGAAATAATTGTTATCAATGTTTTCTCTAAAACTCATACAAACAGTATTCAATAATGTTTTAGATTATAATTACTATCTCCCACCAGTTACTCTTATCAGAATTTAGTTGCTTTCAACTAGACGACAAAAATGGTTGATATCACTATATTACAGCTGTTCTCACATGGAAACAGTTGGATATTCAGGCTACATTGCAGGACAATCTGAATCAAGAACAGATACTTGTACCAAGTTCAGAAAACATTTCAGCCATATCAATGTAGCAGATGAAACTATTCAGTTAAGGGCCAAAGGTGAAGATCAGGAAATAGGGACAAGTTTGTAGACCTACAAAAATAATAGCAAGTTATTCCATTCAAAGGTCAATCAATAAATGAGGCCAATAGAAACATTACAGAATCACGAGACACCACACATAACAAAGGTAAATAAAAAAGAGAAAACTCTTTCACTAGTCTCATGCTCTGAGTACTTCATTGGAGGCTGCTGCAATAAAGAAATTTTTTCAACTTCATGTTTTTATTTGCTATGGATCAACTGATTATTTGGTTCAAATCTGAAGCAATGAATCAGAAGACAGGACATGGAACAATAAAATGAACCAAGAAGTTAGTTAGGTTCCAATGGGAAATAATAGAAATTACTATTAAATTAGAATATTTAAGGGGACAAAGAAAGGATATAGGTCTCAGAATAATGTTAAAATAAGCAAGAATGGAATGAAAGGGTCACCATCTGGGAACAAGTGAAACACACTGATGAGCAGCAATGAGCACACTTATTTCCCTACCCAAGAACATGGAGGAAATTTTATCATTATGCCAGATGCCAGAAGATTTCTAACTGTGTACTACTAAAGTAGAAAGTGGGAGGAAAAACAAAAACCAAACAAACCCCACATCACACAGACACACACCAACCTAACTATGTAGCTTTAGAGATCCTGGCTTACAAAGTATGGAGAAAACAAAAGGAACAGATGCTCACTTGGCCACCTCTCAATGAAACTCATTAAAATTGTCACCCTGTCCTTGGATTGGTGCTCATGCTAAGATTTTACCTTGTTTAGCAAGAAGATACCCACTTGTGATGAAACTGAGAGCAGCATGGCCAAAAAGGAGGAAGAGTAGTTTTATTTTTTATTTTTACAAGATTATTTTTAAAGGACCAAGTAATCATACCTGTTTCTAAATACAAATGCTGGATATGAATAAAGTTAATTAGCACTTGCTAGTTGTGAGAAAAATGACTGAGAAAAAATATATAATTTGTTATATTCACATTTTGTAGGAAATTATCAAGACATTTGTATGTAAGAGACACCTAACAGATGAACTCTACTTTTTTAAAGCACAATTTTAAATAAATTCTAGCTGAGCATGGTGGCTCCCGCCTGTAATCCTAGTACTCTGGGAGGCTGAGGCGGGTGGATCACTCAAGGTCAGGAGTTCGAAACCAGCCTGAGCAAGAGCGAGACCCCATCTCTACTATAAAAATAGAAAAAAAATTAATTGGCCAACTAAATATATATATAATTAGCCGGGCATGGTGGTGCATGCCTGTAGTCCCAGCTACTCGGGAGGCTGAGGCAGCAGGATTGCTTGAGCCTAGGAGTTTGAGGTTGCTGTGAGCTAGGCTGACGCCACAGCACTCTACCCCAGGGAATATAGTGAGACTGTCTCAAAAATAAATAAATAAATAAATAAATTCTGACATTTCTTATATGGATCATTTCAGTGGTTATATTTTATATATTTTCAGTTGACGAAGTAGGCCCAGAGACTACTGCATTTTTTTTTTTTTTTTTTGAGACAGAGTCTCACTTTGTTGTCCAGGCTAGAGTGAGTGCCGTGGTGTCAGCCTAGCTCACAGCAACCTCAAACTCCTGGGCTTGAGTGATCCTTCTGCCTCAGCCTCCCGAGTAGCTGGGACTACAGGCATGCGCCACCATGCCCGGCTAATTTTTTATATATATATCAGTTGGCCAATTAATTTCTTTCTATTTATAGTAGAGACGGGCTCTCGCTCAGGCTGGTTTTGAACTCCTGACCTTGAGCAATCCGCCCGCCTCGGCCTCCCAAGAGCTAGGATTACAGGCGTGAGCCACAGCGCCCGGCCTAGACTACTGCATTTTTAAGAAATAAAATTTCGTAAATTTTATTTAAGCAGAGCCCTCATGAATGGGATTAGTGCCCTTAAAAACGAGACCCCAGAGAGCTAGCTAGTCCTTTCCATCATGTGGGCATGCATTGAGAAGGCACAATCTATGAAGCAGAGAGGAAGCCCTCACCAGATAACTCTTGACCTGTGTTCAAGCAATCCTCCTACCTTGGCCTCCTAAAGTGCTGGGATTACAGGCATGAGCCATCATGCCTAGCCTGTATTCTTTTCTTAAATCTATAATCCTATAAGTTTTTAATAGCAATACCGAGTAAAGATGCCTACAGAGAGCACTGTTATGACGTGATGTATATTGATGAGTAATATTACTTACTTTGGCCACACAATTTTCAGTCTTCATAGCAGTGCTTGCTAGACATACTGTTTCTTGGTTTAAGCAAAGTCTGGCACAGCTGTTATAAGTCTGTAAAGAGAATTTTTGGAAAAAGTTTTTTAAAATATCAAAATACTGCCATACACAGTTTTCAAATTCTGCTCTATTTCTCAAAATAAAAACGCAAATAGATTATTTTTTTTAAAAAAAAGATGGGCTTCTTCTCTGGGAAAACACCAAATGGCGGATGACGCCGGTGCAGCGGGAGGGCCCAGAGGCCCCAGCGGCTTTCGTGGAGGCTTCGGCAGCGGCATTCATGGCTGTGGTCGAAGAGGGGACCGAGGTCGCAGAGCTCGTGGAGGCAAAGCCAAGGACAAGGAGTGGATGCCCGTGACCAAGCTGGGCCGCCTGGTTAAGGACAAGAAGATCAAATCCCTGGAGGAGATCTATCTGTTCTCCTTGCCTATCAAGGAGTCTGAGATCATTGATTTTTTCCTGGGAGCATCTCTCAAAGATGAGGTTTTGAAGATTATGCCAGTGGAAAAGCAGACCCGCGTTGGCCAGTGGACCAGGTTCAAGGCATTTGTTGCCATCGGGGACTACAATGGCTATGTCGGTCTAGGTGTTAAGTGCTCCAAGGAGGTAGCTACTGCCATCCGAGGGGCCATCATCCTGGCCAAGCTCTCCATAGTCCCCGTGTGGAGAGGCTACTGGGGGAACAAGATCGGCAAGCCCCACACCTGTTCCTTGCAAGGTGACAGGCCGCTGCGGCTCTGTGCTGGTACGTCTCATCCCTGCCCCTAGAGGAACTGGCATTGTCTTGGCCCCTGTGCCCAAGAAGCTGCTGATGATGGCTGGTATCGATGACTGCTACACTTCAGGCAGGGGTTGCGCTGCCACCCTGGTCAACTTCGCAAAGGCCACCTTCGATGCCATCTCCAAGACCTACAGCTATCTGACTCCTGACCTTTGGAAAGAGACAGTATTCACCAAGTCTCCCTATCAGGAATTCACTGACCATCTTGTCAAGACCCACACCAGAATATCTGTGCAGAGGACCCAGGCTCCAGCTGTGGCTACAACATAGCATTTTTATATGAGAAAAATAAAGTGAAATTAAGTCTGTTAAAAAAAAAAAAAAAGATGGGGGTCTTGCTCTGTCACCCAGGCTGGAATGCAGTAGCATGATCATAGCTCACTGTTGCCTTGAACTCCTGGGCTCCAGCAATCCTCCTGCTTCAGTTTACTGAGTAACTGGGATTATAGGCTTAAACCATGGCGTCTGGCCCTCAAAACATATATTAAAAATAAATAAATTGGAGCATTTTATTTTATTTTATATTTTTACTTTTTTTAAAAAAATTTTTCATTGTTTTTTTCTTTTTTTCCATCCTAGTTTGTCCTAGGAGCATTTTAAATTAGTGTACAAACTATTAGTACACATAAATTCTGGGCTCAGGGTTCAGTATTTCTTTTGTAATGACTAATTCCATGAACATTTACTATTCATGCACATATAATACAACCTTTTTTAAAAGATGAAATTTACTGTTCTTAAAAGATATTTATACGGCCGGGCATTGTGGCTCATGCCTGTAATCCTAGCACTCTGGGAGGCCGAGGCGGGTGGATTGCTCGAGGTCAGGAGTTCGAAACCAGCCTGAGCGAGACCCCATCTCTGCCAAAAATAGAAATTAATTGACCAACTAAAAATATATACACAAAAAATTAGCCGGGCATGGTGGTGCATGCCTGTAGTCCCAGCTACTTGGGAGGCTGAGGCAGGAGGATCGCTTGAGCCCAGGAGATTGAGGTTGCTGTGAGCTAGGCTGATGCCATGGCACTCACTCTAGCCTGACAAGAGTAAACCTTTTCCCAAAAAAAAAAAAAAAAAATGTAGATATGTTTGTATCCGATTAATTTTCCGGCAGATAACAATTATAAACTATAGAAAAACACTTAAAAACTATGTAAAGGCATAGTGAAAATTAATGTTGATCATAAGTGGTCTTATGTAAAAACTGACTTAAAAGTAGGCAGAAACTGGTGAGGGAGATGGCAGGTACAGACTGATCTTGAAAGAAGAGAACCACACTGGGTGAGATATGTGTTTATGTGCTTTTCCTCCCGAAGGCACTTGCCAGTCCACTTGGTGTAGGGTGGCTAGAAATCAATTAGAAAGCCACAGTCTTTTGGCTTAACATATAGAGGAACTGAGAAGAGAAATCCCCGAAATTAGAACCACAGGGGAAGGAGGAAGCCTAAAAAAATACATATAAATTTTTCTTAACTCCATGGCTAACCCCCCAAACTATATACATGAAGGAGAGACTCCAAGGATTCCAATGGAAAGCAACAGCTGGAAGGTTGAAAGACCTGGGCAAAGATTCCAGCTGCTGCTCATGAGGGGAGACAGAGTGTAGAATTTGATTCCTACCAACTTAGGCTTAAAAAACATCTCAGGCTTTCCACTGAAAACTCAAAAAGACCTTAAATTGAGATTAAAGAGTATGTTTTAGGAATAAGGGATCTGCTTTAGGACTAAGGGCAAAATTAAAACATACCTGACCTCAACAAATGTAAAACCAATCCTATACAAGGCAACAGTGACCACTGAGTAATTTAATCAGAGGAAGATAAAAGAATTCAGAGTTTCTGCAATGTACCCTTTATAATGTCCATTATACAATCAAAAATTAGTAGATATGAGAAAAAAAAAAGATAAATGGGATCCACAGTTAAGAGTAAAAGGAATAAAAAAACCAATCCTGAGAAGACCTAATTGTAGGAATTAGCACATATTATAGCTCTAAAGAAGCTATAATATATCCAATGACTTAAATAAAAGATATGATCACAACGAATAAACACATGAAAAATTTCACCAGAAAAATGAAAACCTAAAATGAATCAAATAGAGATTCTAGAATTAAAAAATACATTATCTGAAATTAAAAATTCACTGGATGGGCTCAAAAGTAGAATGAAGGTGGCAGAAGAAAAGGTAAATGAATTTGAAGGCAGATCAACTGAAATCATATAAACTGAAGAAGAGAGAAAAAAAGAAAAAGAAAAAACAAAGAAGGGTCTCAGTCATCTGTGATAGAATTTTGGATTATTTAGCATATGTGTAGTTAGAGTCTGAGGAGAGAAGAGAATGGGGCACCAAAGAAGTTATAAAAATAGTAGCCAAATATTCCCCAAATTTAGTGAAAACCATTGGCTTTCTGAGCTAGGATCAGCAAATCCGAGGTAGATTAAATACAAAGAAAACAACACCTAGCCCAATCAAAGTCAAAACTGTTGAAAACCAGTGACAAAGACAAAACCTTGAAAATAGCCAAAGAAAAAAGACATGATATATACTGGGAGCAATGATGTAAATAACAGTAGGCTTTTTACCATTAACAATTAAGGCTAGAAGACAAGCGAACCACACGTTCAACGCGTTTAAAGTCCTGAAAGGAAAAAAAAATATCTCAAACCAGGTTTCTTATGTTAGAAAAGGAAATTACAAATACAGAAAGAGAGAAATTTAGAGCAAACCCTGTAGTGTTGAATTGGAATTGGAGGTATCAGTGTGAACTCACGGTTTAAAAAACAAACAAACAAAGAAACAAAAATATATATGTAAAAGAAAAGTTAGTGTTTGAATCTTGGCTTCTAAATACCATTCTAAATACCACTCTAAAGGGAGCCATAGATCCCTGGAAATATGGCTGACTCCAGGACTGACCAGGGAAAACATAAGACGAACTTGTAAATACTCAAGAGGATGGAGATAATGTCAATGGGCACAGAAGACAGCCTAAGAAAAGGCTTTCATTAGCTCAATATGAAACAATTTGAGTATTAAAAGATATTAACAGATTGCAACCTGTGGAATAAATAGGAAACATTTCTTGAAAGACACAAATTACCAAAACTGGCACAATATGAAACAGAAAATCCGAACAGCTCTATACCGATTAAATTGAAATTGCTGTAAAAAAAATCTTCTCATATAAATTTAAATGATGAGTTAAAGACACTTTCCACAAAGAAAACTCCAGGTCTAAATAGCTTCACTGGTGGGTGAATTCTACAACATTGTAAGTTAGAAACAATACCAGGACCATACACAAATGCTGTTAGAAAATGGTGGAGGGAAAGACTACCCAGCTCATTTTATGAGGCTAGCATAACCCTGATATCAAACCTGAAAAAGTCATTAAAAAGAAAGTTATAAACCAATATCCCTCATTAACACAGACACAAAAATTCTTAATAAAATCAATTAATGGAATTCACCATATTAACAGAATAAAGCAGATAAAAACCTATATGATAAATCTCAGCTAAAGAAAGCACATCTGCCTAAATTAACCACTTATTTTTTTAAGAAAGCCTCAGCAAGCTATGAATAAAAGAAAACTTCATAAACGGCATCTAAAAAACTTTTGACTATCATACTTAACCATGCAAGACTTAAAAACTGTCCCTCTAAAATTGGGAACAAGGTGAAGATATACTCTTACCACATCAATTCAACATTGTATTGGAGTTCATGGCCATTAAAATAAAGCAAGAAAAAGAAACAAAAGGCAAATAAGTTGGAAAAGAAGAATTAAAATTGTCTTTATCTATCAATGACAGAAAACAGGTCAACAGTCAAAAATCAATCGGATTTCTCTACTCTAGCGATACATAATGAGAATTTAAAAAATTTACAATAGCATTTAAAAACATTGACTACCAGGGAATAAACTTAATATGTGCAAGAAATATACACTAATAATTAAAACACACTGCTTAGAAAAAATTAAAAAGACATAAAAAAAATGGAGATATACACACCATGTTTAATGACTCAATGTTAAGATGCTAATTCTACTCAAATGGATATATAGTTTCAATAAAATCCAGAGCAAAACCTCACAGACTTTTTAATAGAAATTGCTAGGTTGATTCTAAATTTATTAACTATATAGAAATGCAAAGAATCTAGAATAGCTAAAACAAAATCAAAATAAAAACAAATCTGGAGGACTCATACTACCTGATTTCAAGACATTATATAAATGGCTAAAAATGTAAAACAGATAGATACT